GGTGGAAGGATGGGTGGGTGGGATGATTGTACCTCCGTCTGCTGACCGCGCCTGAGGTTCTTTTGTGCCGCCGGATTAGCATGGGTGGGTTGATTGTGAGAGCCATGGAGCAGAGCATTCATTGCGAAGATACAGTCATTGCGCAGCATTGCTTGCACACCGAATATATATATATATATATATATACATACAACATATATATATATATATATGGGGGGGAAGGGGCTCCGGGAACCCCGGAGTGCACTGATTTCGTATCCGGGCATTTTGGACCCGTCGGGGGGGCGCCAGGTAACGTGAAAGCACGGGAAGGGGGGCGACGACGAGAGGGCCCGAGAGACGTCCAAGAGGGCGCCAAGAGGGCCCCAGAGCGTTCCAAGAGAGCCCAAGACCTCACAAAAACGTTTCAAAATTGGTCCACCATGGCTCGAAGACAACCCAATAAGGCCTGAAAACGGCCAAGATGCCATCAAAAGGACTTCCACGAGGCCCCCAGGAGGCGAAACAAGCAGGTTGTTTCGAGGGTTTTCGGAAGTTTTTCGTGTTCTCGCTTGTTCGTTCTTCCGACAGTCCAGGACAGCCCACGAGGCCCCAGAAATCAGTTCAAAACGGCCCAAGAGCCGCCCGAAGAGGGCGCCACGACGGCGCAAGCGAGTCCCAAGGCGGCCCAAGAGTGCCCTAAATCGGCCCAAGAGGCGCCCAAGATCGTCCAAGAGGGCCCCAAGAGGGGGAACACGAATCGTCAACTCGAGCTTTCCGCCCCAAGAGCCCCCCAGGCGGCCCCAATTGGCCCCCAAGGCAGCCCACGAGGCCCCAAAGAGGCCCAAAGAAAGGGCCCTAGAACACCAACCCAGGCACTAGATGGTCGAAGACGCCCAAGACGGCATCCAGACGGCCCAAGTGGCCCCCAAGATACCCAAGAGGCTTCCAAGAGGTCCCCCAAATCCCCCAACAGAGTTCGAAGAGGCCAAAAAACGTTTCTTATCCGTGGGTGTTTGAACAATTTTGGCGTTTTGGCGAACCGAGAACCCGAAATCTTCGCCCCAGGAGGCCCCCAGGAGTCTTCAAGAGGTCCCCAAGGAGCCCCAAAGGGGCTCAAAAGAGCCCGAGATCGGCCTCGAGGGCACATGAGAAAAACTGGAATTCCAACAGTTTTTTTAAGTTCGCCTGACAGCTTCGCTACGCCTGCAAAACGAAGAGAGGACATCATATTTCCTCCTCCTCCTATTCCTCCTCCTCCAGTTCCTCCTCCTTTGCGGCCTCCTCCACGCTCTCCAAATCCTCCTCCTCCTCCTCCTCCTCCTCCTCCTCCACTTCCTCCTCTTCCTCGTCCTCAACTTCTCATTCTCCCCCAGGGAGCCCTTTCACCTCCCCTTCTCCTTTTTCTTCCTCCGGCTACGTCCAGCCGCGGCGAATGAGAGGGCCTTCGAAGTGCTTTTCGGGCTGGGTGGACCGTGGAAGTCTTGGAAGCCACTTGGACCGTCTTCGCGGTTCTAGGAAATTCCACAGAAGAAAAGTTTCATACAATAGAAATCTTCAAGAATTCAACCATCCAGCCTGACTTGAACTTGAGCGCGCGGGAAGCTCGCGCGATGGTTCTAGTATGTGTATGTATATTGATGTATGGTGCAGGATTCGTTGGACAATGCACAGTGCACCACTTTCTCGCTCCACGTATATTCTCGCTTCTGAACAATAAACGCAATTCCAAATTGCAATTTGCATTGAAATTTGCAGTTTGCATACGATTCTGCCCCATCGTCCATCCGAAAGATGTACAAACCCACGCCATCCCAGACAGGCTGTTATCGCCCCCCTCTTTCATCTTGTACAAGATGCTATTAAGCTCGCGCCCGATGATCACAACTCATCAGTTTTCGAGAATCTCTTGCAACAAATGGGACGAAGTGCGCACGCGCGCGACGTCGCGCGCGCATGCCAAAATTCCTTCAACAACATTGGTGTCGCAATGATTTCAAAATCGAGCGCCCCTAGAAAAAACATGGTTTCGCAACGATGCGTTGTTAAAAAAAATGCGCCCGCACTTTAGTGAATTATTGAGACAACCATCGGTATGTCAACTGTTTCATATTTATACAGATAATATATATATACTAATATGTATAAATACACACATATATATACATACATATATAAATATATTATATATGTATACATATGTATTTATATATATATTAATAATAATAATTATCCCGGCAAAGCAACCTAACAGCGATGTGTAGGAGCATATCTGGAAGCATTCCCCTTAAGATTCAGATGATAATCCAGTTGTAGAATTGTGCTGTTCTCGCAGTCGTAGTCGCATTCGCGATGACAGTCGCAGTGGCAACGGCAGTCACAGACACAGCCTCAGCCTCAGCCTGCCTCAGCCTCAGCCTCAGCCTGCCTCAGCCTCAGCCTGCCTCAGCCTCAGCCTCTTCAGCCTCAGCCTCAGTCTGCCTTCAGCCTCGGCCTCAGCCTCAGCCTGCCTCAGCCTCAGCCTCAGCCTCAGCCTGCCTCAGCATCAGCCTGCCTCAGCCTCAGCCTTCAGCAAATGTGGCCCGGGAATGTAGTTCTGGGAACTCGAAGAACACGAAGTGGCCTACAGTTGGCTCCGGGCATTCAAAATCATGCCCAGGAATGGAGTTCTGGGAACTCGAAGACCACGAAGTGGCCTACAGTTGGCTCCGGGCATCCAAAATCTGGCCCGGGAATGGAGTTCTGGGAACTCGAAGACCACGAAGTGGCCTACAGTTGGCTCCGGGCATCCAAAATGTGGCCCGGGAATGGAGTTCTGGGAACTCGAAGAGCACGAAGTGGCCTACAGTTGGCTCCGGGCATTCAAAATGTGGCCCGGGAATGGAGTTCTGGGAACTCGAAGAGCACGAAGTGGCCTACAGTTGGCTCCGGGCATTCAAAATGTGGCCCGGGAATGGAGTTCTGGGAAGTCGAAGAGCACGAAGTGGCCTACAGTTTGCTCCGGGCATTCAGAATGTGGCCCGGGAAGGGAGTTCTGGGAGGTCGAAGAGCACGAAGTGTGTGACTGTATGCGAAAAACGATCCCGGCCGGCAAACCCCAACACCTCCCCAACGGCTGCCCAGACCCCCCTGTGGAGTAATGTGCTGCTTTCTTTTGACACTACTAGAAACCTACCAGTCTTCGCTGTTAGGTAATAATAGTACTAATAATAACAACAAAAAATCTTAACGGGCCTCTCGCCCGCGCATGTCGAAATCGTTCGAACGGCCTTGCGCGCGTGATGTCGCAAGAATCCCTTGCACAAAAAGTGACGAAGTGCACGCGCGCGCACGCCGAATTGTTTCAAACACCATAGGTTTCGTCAGGATTTCACAGTTGTGTGTCCCGAAAATACGTAACTGAAAGCGTAGTTTTCCCACGTCAGTTTTCAATAAAGCATGCGCCGGCGCTGTTGCGAATTGTTTGAAACACCATGGTTTGTTTCAACATGTCCACTACATGCTGCCAACCGAGCGAGCGCGTGCTGGGGGGCACGACCCGTGTCCAGTAAAATCATGCGGGCCACACTCGCTCGTCGGCCGCGCGCGCATGTCGAACTCCTACCAAAACCTTCATCACCGACGCAGTGACGCCGTCATCGTCGCCGGCGTGATCAGCATCGGCGCCGTCAATGGCTTTGCCTCCGTTGTTGTCACCATCGCCACCAGCATCGCTACCATCATCCTCGTGCCTGTCGCCGTCGCCGTTGCCATGCCCCTGCGCCCGCCCAAGTCGCCGACTCGCACTGTGGTGCCCGCTGGGAAGTGCCCAGCGGTCAGCGCCGCCGCGGCCGCGTTGGTCGCGCCGAACTAGTTGGCCGTTGCGCGCGCGAGCATGCGCTGGCTAGCGGCTAGCGCGGCCGCAGAGATGCACCAACCAACACCAAGCACCCATCGCAATCGTCGCCGCATAGGCTTATGCAAACCAAGTTGCGGGTGGGTGAATGGAATGAT